CTATCTATCTATCTATCTATCTATCTATCTATCTATCTATCTATCTAGAGACAGGGTCTCTTTTTTGGAGGGGGGTTCGAGATAGGGTTTCTTTGTAACTTTGGAGTCACTCCTGGAACTCTCTGTAGACCAGGCTGGCCTTGAACTCACAGAGATCCACCTGCCTCTGCCTCCCGAGTCCTGGGATTAAAGGCATGCGCCACCACCGCCACGCTGAGACAGCGTGTAGCTTGGAGGTCCTAGAACTCTCTATGTAGACCAGGCTGACACTGAACCCACAGAGATCTGCTGGCCTCTGCCTTACAAGTTCTGGGACTAAAGGCAGGCACCTGGCAGTTAGTCTGGGTTTTTTGTATATTTCACATCTGCGTCAACCCTTCCTGTCACCATAACCTTTCTGTTTAGAACATTCTTATCCCTTTTCTTAGATTCTGAGACCAGATCTATGTTGACTAGGCTAGCCTCAAATCCTGGGGCTTGAGTGATCCTCCTGCCTTAGCCTCCTGAGGAGCTGAGATGGAAAGAACAGCCAGTATGCCCGGCTTCTTGCTCAGTATTCAAGGCTGTTTTGAGGAGTCTTTCTCCTACATATCCCTGCAGCAAAGAAGGAACACCTCTGCTGCTTCCTCATGTCAGTCCTCACTGGCGGTCACTCTGTGCTCCATTATAGGACAGACTGAAAACTGTCATTTTGCTATTTCTCTCTCTCCCTTGTCTTATTCTTAGACAAAATTAGGAGGGCTCCTCTCAGCATTAGTTTTACCTTTGTTTCTCATTATGTGTCCCCAGACTAGAAGATGGACTTTATATTCTTTATCTTTTAATGATTTATTAAATTTATGTGCATTGGTGTTTTGCCTGCATGTATGCCTGCGTGAGGGTGTCAGGAGCTAAAGTTACAGACAGTTGTGAGTTGCCATATGGGTGCGGGGAATTGAACCCAGGTCCTCTGTTTTAACAACCAGTGCTCTTAACTGCCAGGCCCTGGACTAGTATATTCTAAGGAACAGTCAATATGTGTTTGAGTGATGCATGGACCGGAGCCCCTACTTTAACAGGCAGAAGTCCCAATGTACCTGTAACAAAAGTCATGTTTCTGGAAGGTTTGGCAGGCCAAAGGGAAGATGTCCAGAAAGGCCCAGAGTGTGGTGCAGGTGTCACATAGGTATAGAACAATGTCCTTTAATTCCTGTTGTCAAGAAAAGACACAGTATTATTTTCAAGCCCCACGACAGCTCTGCAGAGTACAGAGTCCCTTCAGGCAGGAAGTTGCTTGAGTGGAAGAACATCTCTAGGAGGGCAACACTTAGTCATCCTGTCTCAGAGTTTGCCATTGCAATTTAGTGGCCTATACTCAATGATGGCTAACGTCACCTATAATTCTGATAGTTTCTCTTCTATGCTGCAGTAAAATGAACACTGAATCTGAAAACACTGTGCCGAGAGAAACCATCCAGCCTGGGGAGACAGGAGCAGCAAGCCCACCCTTTGCTCACATTTTGAAGAGGGTACATAGAACACAGGGTGTTTGTTCATCTGTTTTGCTGAGTCTCATGCCATCCTGAAGGAGCAAGCTGGGTGGCTCTTCATGTTACAGATAAGGAAACTGAGGCTCAGAGTGCTAAGATGATTTGTTCCTATGGCTCCTGGCACGTACTCTTCTGAAGCACTTGCTCAACGGATATTTCCCCCACCAGATGGCAAATGCCAAGAAGGTAGCTCACAGCTGCCACATCCCAGCTGTCTGTAGTGCTTAGTACAGCACCCAGGTCCCTCAAAGTGTACTTTCTGTATGTCATTCTCATTAAAGTTCTAACGCCATGAGATGGGTACCATGTCTGCTTCTGCTTGCTGCTTTATCCCCCAGGCTCAGCATAATCTCTCGGGATAGACCCATTGAATCGATGACTGGCTCAAGAAGTGGGCCCACAGAGCAAAACTACCTGAGGAATGGACCCAGTTCTCAAGTCCTAGTATTTTTCTGATACTCCACAAAGGTTTCCTAGGGTGGAACAAAACCTTCTTTAAAGCTTAACCCACAGGGCAGGTAGAAATACAGATTATATCAAAAAAAGAGGTCAAAGGCAGGGAAGAAACCACTGTGCCCTGCAGCATTAGCAATCATCTCAGCTCCAGGGTAATGAGGCTTAAGGGTTCTAGCCAAAAGAAGCTGGGCTCAGGAGCAAACTTACCAAGAGAGGCATGTCACTAGGAGTCAACCGACCCTTCTCTCCGAGTTTCTGGGGTGTGGTGCTGGTCCCATCCCCTTGCAAACCACAGTGCTGGAGGATATTGCTGAAAACCTAAGAAAGGCAAAAAGGGCTCTCTTCCATATCCTGAACAAGCACTTAGGATCCCCACTCCACAACTAGGAGCAGGTGACCCAAGAACGGCCTTGGAACCTTGGGACAGGCCATTCAATGGGATGGTGAATAGGATTAAATACAAACCATGTAGGGCTGATGGTGTGGCTCAGTGACAGTGTGCAGGCCAAGTAAGACCCTGGTTCCAGGCTAAGTGAGGTAATGCACACCTTTAATCCAAGCTCTCAGAAGGCAGAGGTAGGTGAATCTCTTTGAATTCAAAGCCAGCCAGGTCTACATAGTTAGTTATAGGCTAGCCAAGGTTACAGTGAGATCTGGTCTCAAAAACAGAACTCTGAGTTTCCATCTTTAGTAAGCACACATACAACAAGCATTATAAAATATAAAGTCCCAAGAATCCTGCATCTATGACTTGACTGGACAGACTCAACAATATATGATAATACCCGAGAAATACCTTCAGCAACATTTAAGAAATGTTTAGATTCTTGTAGACGACAACTTATAGGATGATTTTATATATGTGTGTACGTGTTGTTTTGAAAAGGGTCTCATGCAGGCCTTTGATCTCATTATGCAGATAAGGATGAAGACTTAGAACCCCTAATCCTCCTGTCTCTACTTCCCAAGTGCAGGGATTACAGATGTGTGCCATCACATTCAGTGATTACCAGAGCTTTATTAATACAAAAGACAAATTAACAGAGTTGAAAACAGAACCTGTTATAAAATCAAGTAATATTGAATTGGTAGTACTGTCTTTCTTCCTTTTTAATCTCTGTGTGTGTGTGTATGGACATGTGTGTAAAAGTCAGGGGACAACTGTGGGAGCTCATTATCTCCTTCTACTATGTGGGTTCTGGGGATCAAAATCAGGTCCTCAGGCTTGGCGGCAGGCACCTTTACCTTCTAAACCATCTTGCTGGGACATATTATCTTTATTTTTGCAATTAAAATTTTATTTTTGTTTTTTTGAGACAGGGTCTCACTTTATAGCCGTGGCTGGCCTAGAACTTACTATGTAGACCAGGCTGGCTTCCAATTCACAGGAATCCTCCTGCCTCTGCCTCCTCAGTGCTGATATGTTATTGCTCAACAGGCTACCATATAACTATTCCAAAAGTTACTTAAAACAAATGTATGTGTAGGGATATCTTTATGGTGGGGTTATGGAAGAATAATATTCTCTATGATTGCTTACTTTTTGTACATTTTTTTTGAAACTGAGTCATACTATAGCTTAGGCCTCAAGCTCAGCTACCAAGAGCTGGGATTACAGACAAGAGGCACCATGCCCAGCTCCTTTCAGCTTTTTAACATTCTTCACATTTTCTTTTTTTTAAAGTATTTATTTTTATTTTATGTACATTGATGTTTTACTTGCATTCACATACAGACAGTTATAAGCTTCCATGTGGGTGCTGGGAATTGAACCCAGATCCTCTGGAAGAACAGCCAATTCTCTTAACTGCTGAGCCATCTCTCCAGCCCCCATTCCTCATATTTCTACAGTACACGTTATTCTTTCATGAAATGGTTTTATAAACCTTTACAGTTCCTATTTGAGAAATGCAGGCCTCTGAAAGGAGTAAAGTTACTTTTGGAGATATATGGCTGCTAGAAAATAAAAAATGCTAAACCAAATCCTTTTGTGTAAGTGCCAGACAATCTTTAGATTTCAGTCTTGTTCAAGAACGGCAAAGGCATGTAGTCAAGAACAGGAGAGAGAAAATCTGGGAGACGAGTTCTCTTTCTCCCTCCTCCTCTTCCCTCTCCCTTCTCCCCTCTTTTTCCTACTGGGGATGGAATCTGGCTGGGGCTTTGCACTCTACCCCTGTGCCACACTTCAAGATGTGTCTGAAAAAGGAATGGAAAGCAAACATTTTCCCAGGTTTTTAAAGAAAAGTCCAACTTACTCTCTCCCAGGCGGGATAAGAGAGATGGTACCTGAAGTATGGTGGGAACGGTTTCATCCAGGTCGTTATAATAACTTGGCTGCTGGATAAATATGTTTCCTAAAGAGAACGGAAGGGAAGAAATGGGGAGAGGTCAGGAGGATGAGGAGGACACATTAAATTGATTATAGGCATGCTGTGACCTTTCTCCCGTTCCCTAAGTCTGTCTGTGGGGGGATCTAGAATAATGAGTATTGTCTCAGGCCCAGCTGGCACTGAGCTTAGTCCTCACTGAGAACCCTCCCCAGGGTTGAGAAAGGAAGGAAGTTATTCAGTACAATTTAACTTTTCAAGTACCTCTGAATTACATAAAACAAAGAGTAGCCCTGGTCAAACCAGCTAGTCCTGATGTCCCCAGGGAGCGACCAAACTGAAATGGGAGTTGCATATCCAGGAAAATTGGGAATTATAATTCCTTTATTCAATAAACCTACAATAGCTCAAGCCACACCTCAAAAGTATGAGAAGATGACAGGGAGAAATGTCTGGAAGTTTTTGTTCTGAAGGTGCTACCATCTCAATCCACCCTCCTGCAAACAAGAGACGGACTTGGCACACATGTTGTTCTGACGTTTACTTCTTTCCACCTGCTGCCGCACGGGCATGTTAAAGCACATGGTAGCTCGAACAGAACCCAGTGTTTCTCTGTCCACATGTTGAGGGAGGAAGACAGGGAAGAACCATAGCTGGGGACATGAAGATGAAAAGTACCAATGCCCTGAAAAGTCTAAGATAGAATTTTTGCCTCTCAGGTTCGTAGGCAGCTTTGAGCCCCCTATTTCTGTGGAGGTCTGGTTTTTATGCAAGTGCCAGACAATGCTTCGATTTTAGTATTGTTTGAGAAGGTCAAAGGGTGAGTTGAAAGGGGGTACATGGCCAAGAGTAGGACAGAGGAACTATCTGGGGAGAAACAGGTTTTTCTCTCTCCTCTCTCTGTTTCTCTCCTACACGGTGTATGAGAGCCAGAGCATACAACACGGATAATTCTGTAGCCTTAGTCCAACTCCAGGGTACCTAAACAGGAAGGAAATCAAGTGCCAGTTGAGTCTGATGAGCAAGCAAATAGCTGGGCTTTTCATCAGCACCATTTAGGATAGTATTTACTCCGTGTTTCCAAAAAGCTGAGTTTTCCTAGCACAGCCTCCTTAGCTCAGGGCTCCTGCCTCCCTTAGGTCTGATCATGTAATCTATGAAGGTGTGCCTGGATCATCCACACCCTCCTCCTCTATACAGACAGGCAATGTCTGAGCCAGTCCCTCCATCAACCTTTGCTCCTTGCTAGTTCCTCTTGCCCTGATCCTCCAGGGCAAGCCTTAACTTCTATGACACACAAAGTCCTGAGAAATCTAGTCCTTGCTGGCATCCTAAGACAACTTGTTTCCATTCCATTCCATTCCATTCCATTCCATTCCATTCCATTCCATCCCTTGAACCATCCTCAACCTCAGACAACAGGCTGTCTTTTCCTTCTGCCTGGAATGATCTCCTGAGCTCACCCCACCATAAGACACGTATCACCTCCTCAGGTAGTTCTCTGACAAAGGCATTCTCTGGGCCATAGCATATTCCTCTTGCCACCCTGACCCCCCAGAACATTTCCTCATTGCTTGTCAGAAAAATAGAGATTTTATTTTTTTATAAGCAACAAGTAACTCCAATTTCATATTTTTTTCCTTTGGTGTTTTTGAGACAAGGTTTCTTTGCAACCGTCCTGGCTGTCCTGAAACTCTCTTTGTAGACCAGACTGGCCTCAGAATCAGAGATCTACCCACCTTGTCTCCTGAGTGATGGGATTAAAGGCGTGCACCAATAAGCCTGGAAAGATAACTCAAATTTCACAATCTATCCTTGGGGTCTTCAGAGTTTCTTTTCTTCTTTATCAGATTCCAATGGTGACACATGCCTTTAATCCCAGCACTTGGGAGGCACAGGCAGGAAGATCTCTGTGAGTTCGAGGTCATCCTGGTCTACAGAGCGAATTCCAGGACAGTCTCCAAAGTTACACAGGAAACCCTGACTCGAAAAACAAAACAAAAAAAAACCAACACCAAACAAAAAACCCACAAAGCTCCTAAAAACAAAATCAAATCAGGCCTAGAGAGCTGGCTCAACAGTCAGCAGTTAAGAGTGCTTGCTGCTCTTGCAGAGGATTCAGGTTCAGTCCCCAGGACCAGATGCCCTCTTCGGGCCTCCATGGGTGTCAGGCACACACAAAATGTACATATATATGTGGAGGCAAAACATCTATACATATAAAATAAAAATAAATACATCTTGGGACTGGAGAGATGGCTCAGTGGTTAAGAGAACTGGCTGCTCTTGCAGAGGACCTGGGTTATATTCTCAGGACACACATGGCGGCTCACAGCCACTTCAATCCCAGTACTAGGAGTTCCAATGCCTTCTTCTAGTGTTTGCAGACACTGCATGCACATGAGCACACATGCATGTAGGCAGAGCACCATACATATAAAAAATAAATAAAAGTTGAAAAATGTTTATTATCTTAAGATAAACTAATTGATCTAAAAAAAAAAACAAACTACTACAAAGGGAAGGACTAAGCAGTGGCATCCTGAGCTCCTCTTCCCAGACAGGCCTGCGGTGAGGAGACACTGCCACACAGATAATCAACAACCACATTTTCTTCCGATGGACAACAGAGCTCAAGAGAGACCAACTGATGAGTCCTGCTTCCAAAAGCTGATACCCAATGCCAACCTTGCCAGTTTAGTAAAAAGACTAGAGCAAGAACTGTGCTTGTGCCCACAGGGCAGCTAACCCTCTCTCAGCTTTTCTTCCTCATCAGTCTCACAAGCAATTGCTTTGCCCAAGAGACTGTATATTCACAGTGTAGGCTGTCCTTTTGCCTTCTACTTAAGGATTAAGAAGAGAACTGCTCTAAGGTGGGGTAGGCTCCTTCTCTACATCTGCCACCAAAACTCCACATCCTGCCTCCCACACACAGAGGCTCCAGGTGCCTGGTCTGTACCTTTCGTGAATCGACCACCTTCTAGGAGCCAAAAATGAGGCTCTCCTTCAGAAGCCAGTTTAGAATCCTCAACTTTGTAGGTTAAAAGTACATGGAACCAGGCACAATGGTGTATACCTAATACCCCAGCATTTGGGAAGCAGAGGCAGGCGGATCTCTGTGAGTTCGAGGCCAGCCTGGGCTACAAGAGCTAGTTCCAGGACAGGCTCCACAGCTACATAGAAACCCTGTCTCAAAAAACAGAAAAAAGAAAAAAAAAAGTCAGGCATGGTGGCCCCCATCTGTAATCTCAGCACTAGTAAGACAGAGGTAGACAGACAGCCTGGGCTTCATATCATTAGTAATAGTAAACAAACAAACAAACAACCAAAAAACAACCAAAAAACCCTTGCAGTGGTGGCACTCAACTTTAACCCCAGCACTCGGGAGGCAGAAGCAAGCAGATCTCTGAGAGCCAGCCTGGTCTACAGAGTGAGTTCCAAGATAGCCAGGGTGACACAGAGAAAAATCTGCCTCAATAAACAAACAAATAAATTAAAAATAAAAATAAGCTTGGCAGTGGTGATGCACGCCTTTAATCCCAGCACTCAGGAGGCAGCTGCAGGTGGATTTCTGTGAGCTCTGTCAGCTCTGTCAGCCTGGTCTAGAGCTAGTTCCAGGACAGGCTCCAAAGCCACAGAGAAACCGTGTCTTGAAAAACCAAAGAAAGAAAGAAAGAAAATAAAGGCATTACCATGTTGGTTAGTTTTATATCAACTAGACACAAGCTAGGGTAATTTGGGAAGTAAGAACCTTAATTAAGAAAATGCCACCACAAGACTGGTCTGTAGCCAAGCTCATGGGACATTTTCTTAATTGAGATTGACGCAGTTCAGGCAATTGTAGGTGGTACTATCCGCAGGCAGGTGGTCCTGGATGGTATAAGAAAGCAGGCTGAGCAAGCCACGGATAGTAAGCTAGTAAGCCACATTCCTTCATGGCTTCTTCTTCCATTTCTAACTTGAGCTTCTGCCCTGACTTCTTCAATGATGCTCTGTAATACGGAATATGGAACTGTAAACTGAACAAACCCTTTTCTCTCCAACTCACTTTTGGTCATGGTGTTTATCACAGCAACAGAGATCTACCTAAGATAGTCAGCAAGATGGCTCAACAAGTAAATGTACCTTTCACCATGATTATGACCTCAGTTTAAGTTGGATCTCCAGGATCCACTTAGTAGATGGAGAGAACCTACTCCCACATGAAGGAAAATTTTGAAATGTAATTAAAAAATTCAAACAAAAAGAAAATTCTCAAAATCTGTGAAATTCATCTTTCATCTGATTCTTAAAGGAGAATGGTCAAAACGATTAAAGCCTAGGGTATCAGGCAGAGTTTTCTTGGACTGTCCTTGTCACTTCAACTCCCAGCAACCCCTCATAGCAATCTTGTACCAACACACTCCAAGGTGTCCTTGCTTCTAACTCACAACCCACACCGCTAGGTCCTAAAGCCCGTTTTTCCCACACTATCCTCTTTCCCCATTTTCTCCAGAACTGTTAAGATTACTCTGGGCTCTGCATCCCAAATGTCCCTTTCTGTTCCAGCAGCCATGAGATACTCACCTTCACTGTCACGATGTGCCTGCTTTTCAACTGCCTACTGTTTCCCCCTTCCCCACATGCATGCTGCCTTAATAGAGTAACCTCCTGCTCCAAGCTCCTGGAAGCTCCACAGCCTCCAGTAAGAGCTTACATTTGCCAAGGGCTTGTGTCCTGCCAGGCCCAGTGTTATGTGTACGATTCACTTTTCCACTTTAATCCCACAAAGAAGGCAGACCATCAGCCTTTCCTTTCTCTAAAATTGAGACTTAGAAAGTCTCACTAACTTGGTAAAGCTGATATGCCCCAAAAGAGAGCTGGACATGAGAGGGGGTGCTAGTGGAGGACCTGTCCTCTTCACTACCGGGCAATCACTCATCAGAAAGCTGGATGGAGCCTTTCCAGTGCCTCTCCCTAGCTCCTGCTGCGGTTCTTTTGTAAACTTCCACTCTAACCAAACTGGCCTGGTAACCATTTCCCTAACTTCTATGCTTTCTGTTGCTTGCCCACCCCATCCTCTAAGTTTACAGTGAATTTATGAAGGGTGCCCCTCTTGGAAAATAAACATGACTAACCCATAATCAGGCAATAATTAGACTCCAACAAGAAACCAGAGAGTGTTTCAATGAAAACGACAGTTGTAAAATTTTACATATATTATAGCCACGTGGTGGTGATCCGTGCCTTTAATCCCAGCACTTGGGAGGCAGAGGCAGGAAGATCTCTGTAAGTTTGAGGCCAGCTTGGTCTACAGAGCAAGTTCCAGAATAGGCTCCAAAGCTACAGAGAGAAACCCTGCCTCGAAAAACCAAGAAACACACACACACACACACACACACACACACACACACACACACACACACA